TACACTGATTCAAATTTAGAGTTGACCTGGTGTTAGTATTTCAAGGGCTTTGCACTGGGTGAAGTTCTGAGTCTTTTCTTGTATGGTCTATTGCATGTCAAGAGAAAATTTCTGTTGGTACCGTGTACAAGGCTTCCATCTTGAAGTATATTAAGAAAAGATGATTGCTGTGATTACAGGTTGTGAAGAAGTTGAATCTGCATTAATGAGTGTTTTTATTATAATGTAGAAAGAAGCCTTGAAATTCTCTCCTAGTCTTGCTAAACTGCCAAATGTTTAAAAATAGGGCCTTAGTTTTAAAACATATTGAGATACTTCAGAATCTGTGGATGCTTGAAAGAGGAATGCCACTCATAGCCTCTGGCACTCAAACACTTGGTCCCCAGTTTCTTGCACTTTTTGTGGAGTCTAGGTCGTGCAACTCTATTAGAGAAAGCATGTCAGTGAGGGAGGACTTTGAGATTAAAATCCCCCTGTCAATTCTTGTTTGCTCTCTCTGCTTTGTGTTTGGATTTGAGGATGTGAGTTGTCAACTTCTTGCTAATGTCACCATGCCAGGTACTTGCTGCCATGCATCCCTGCCATAAAGGACTCATCTCTCTGAGAGTGTAAGCTGGAACAAACCCTTCCATCCATAACTATCTTTGGTCATGCCGTATTCTCATAAAAACAGAAAAGTGACTAATACAGGAGTTTTGTGAAACTCTTTGTGCTCCCACCTCCCACAGTCTTCACATGGGTCCTGTCCTTCTACAGACAACTCTTCATTCCTGTGCATTTATTTCTAAATAGTTTTCCCCGCCCCACAAAATAGACAGACTAAATGTATTTTAATGAGCAAATGGCGTTTCGATTAGATACCTTTCTGTTTCATTAGCTCATTCTATAAAAGTTCTAATAAGTCAGAATAATATTGCAGGAAGTTTTACAGTTACAGAAGAAGCCAGCTTGGTTGATGGAGAATATGTAAATGGAATTTCACCAGAAAAAGCATCCTTAGCATGACAAAACTTTCCTTTGAATAGAAAGTATTTGTGTGAGAGAAGAAATAAATGTCTCATAGATGAAAATGGATGCATCAAAGAAAGGGTTTTTTTATCCTTCCTCTTACTCTATTTGGTTGTTTTGCAGCATGACAGTGCACAATTTAGCTTTTAAAATTGTAGCCATTCTAAGAGCTAACAATTCTTATAAGGTAACTAACTCTTTCCTAGGTTTAGAACAGTTTTCTGCCAAGTACTTTATGTCCAGAATGAGGAGCCAATGGGCACCATGATAGGTTCCATTGCTCACGAGTAAGTCCAAAGTAATCTACAGGCCTGCTTGCCTAAATCTAGTATTTTGCTTTCCATCTTTCTAAAAATGTTCAGGAGGTAGAAAAGTGTTTTTGTTTGTTTGTTTGTTTTTATCATGTGAGACTTTCCACTTCTCTTTTCTCCTGGAGTTCCAATTATTTGTGCAACTGTTGGTGTCTTTGTTAACATATTGTTGTTCTTGATGACATGTTGGAGGGTCAGGATGTACCAAACCCCAAAGCCAGAAAAGTTCCTTCTTTGAATGTTGGGCTGTATTTAGTAAACTATTCTTGAAGGGTTAGCTGTCCTTAAGGAAAATTTGTCATTTTATGTTCAAAGTTTCCGGAAGGATGTACTCTGATTTTTGTAACATGATTATGACATTCATTACATAGTTCTTTGACATTTGCCTGGGTCTGAGGAGACAGACATGGCCCATAGGTAGATGGAAGTATATAAAGAAAAAAGAGGAAACTCGGGTTATGATGAGATATTTAATTTTAATTGGGCATGTTAATTGCTGGACTTCAATACTCTGATAGCTGGACTTTGTTAGTCATTTCAAGAGGAAGAATTGGCCAAATAAGGGAATAGACCTTAGGGGCTTGATTTAGGAATGCAATCTAATGATTTTTCAGCCAGGTAGAGGGAAAGAGGGAGAAAAGCAAGGCCTATCAAAGCCATGCTGAACCTGGTCAGAGTCCATTCAGTTTTCCTAGAGCAAAACATGCCCCACTGTGGTAATTTAAGCCCCTATCTTCTAAGTAAGATGCTGTATATCCCTATCTTTAACCTAATGTTTTTATACCTAAAATTTAGTTTCCCATCTTACTGAAACATGGTCGTGTTACAGAGCTCAGAGAAAACATCCTAATTCCATTTTGCAAACAACATTGGAGTCATACTTGAATTTTTCATAACTATAACTGATTAGCATTTTTCAATAGTTACCCATGGGCATTTGTAGCTGTGATTCCTTTTTAGAAAGTAAAATGCTAATCTGTATAGATAACAATTGGCACAACCAAATCATGTGCATCTCATTTCCTGGAAAACCGGTACACTTGTTACCTTCATAGGAAAAGGATAATATTTCCAATCGTGTTATTTAGTAGCCCGGGGAGTAAATTTAGACTTCTGTTCATTTGGAGCTAGAGGTGACTCTATTGCATTAATATATGTAATTAAATAGAGTTGAAATCGACTTTAAATGAAAATTGAAAACAAATTAAGCAATCACTCAATGTAATGCTTGTGGTTATAGCCTTTGTGTTTATTTAGATACATTGGAAAAAAAAAAAAAAAACAGAACAAATTCCTATATTTCCATGGGTTTTATTTTACTCCAAGAGGAAAACACAGGATGATGGCAGTGTTTGGGATTATTTTAAAAGATCATATATAATGGATACTTGTTTTGATGTCCATATGAGCCCCACACGAATGCCTACTGATCAAATTCTAATGATAGCTGTTAATGCTGGAATCAGACAATCACGAATTCAGCCCATGGAATCTACTTGTTGGCTTTATTCATTACTCTCACAGTAACCATGACTAGGCTCCTTTAATTTGACATTGGATAGCATTTGTGTTCCTAATAGCAAAGATTTTAAATGTGCCTACTTCTTAGAATCTGACACTTGTAACGTTATTGCCTATCATTTTTGTCTTATTATAAGCTTTATCTCCTTAATTTTATGGCTTTGGGATGACTGCCAATGACTTACTGCCTCAAAAGATATTATTCCAAATGAACATATTATGGCTTATATTTACTTAGATTTATTAGTGCTGACTTGGGTTTTGTGCTCAGGCAAATGAGTTCACACCAAAGTCCTCAGAACATTCTTGGGACAGTGGTTCAAGTTTAAAACCAACTGTTAGAAAGTTAAGACATTTTACTCTTTAAGCCATGCAGCTTTGTTGATTGAATTAGGTCTTTTGGTTTAGACTTTGTATGTTGCTTATATACAGAAACTGATGGGAGCTAGTTTCCTATTCTACATTGCTTTCCACATTAACAGCACCAAAATTCCAATGACTGATAAAGGCTCATTGCCTTATTCTCTTATCTCTAAAAATAATATTGATTTTAAAATGTTTTGAAGTTTCCAGTATCTTTCTAATCTGTTTTTGGCACAATTATATTAAAATTCTAATTAGGTCAATATTAAAAATTCAATTAGAGAGAGTCAGCCATAGCTCTTTGATGGGATTTATTTTATAAAATAATTAACTGGCAGTTTATCTTTTTAAGGTTGTTTCAACTGAAACTATGTAGTTAGTGTGACTTGTATTCAGGCCCTTAGATTCAGGCAATAGAAGTACAAATTGTACTGATATGCCATGGATGATGTATTAGGCAGAGTTGAATATATTATCTCACACAATGATGTAGTCTAAGGCAATGCCTACTGCAGGCACTATTATATCCAAGACCTCTGTTCTGCTGTTACTCTCTGTCAGCCTCTTTATCTAACACATTATTCCTGTAGCCAGGAGCGCTAGCCAACAAGGACAATAATTTTTATTTCCTGTTATCTGAGGAAATTAAATGAAACTAAATTATCTGACAGGGTCATAGGAATTTCATGGCTTTGAGTTTGAAATGTGACACTAGTTAACAAGGGTGGTCCCTGAACAGGCCTGAGCAGTATCACCTGGGATCTTGTTAGGGCTGCTCATTCTCAGGCCTTGTACCAGACTCAAAGAAGGAGAAAAACCTTGGAGTGGATCTCAGGAAGTCTCATAAAATGCCCTCCGAGACCCCTATACATGCTCGAGCCAGAGAACAACTACAGTGTGCTATCTGGCCAGGCCATGTGTGCAACCCTCTGCTTCTATGGGTAATGTATAGTCCCACAGGATAGAAAAGGGATCTGAAAACCTCATAGAAAGAAGGAAAGGCAGGCAGAGTGCTGGCCACAAGGGAAAAGGGTGGTGCCAGTGGCATCCAACTCTGCAGCAATGTTCTCCCTAGTATGGAATGCTGTCTCCCAGAACACCACTGACAGTAATGGCTTCCCCCCAAAAGCCAATATTCCAACACAGCCAGTACACTTTCCTTTCTCTGCTGTGCCACAGAGATCTGGGTTTAAGTTTGTCTTTAGAGGGATGGTTGGCAAACATTTAAATGTTTTTGAACCATACAATTCCTTCAATTCCCTTGTCTAATACTTCTTGCAGGCTGTGAAGTGGTCTAGTTCAGTTGCAGCCTAGAATAATGAGCAGCATTGCTGTTCTCTGATGAGGAGCCAGGTGGATCTGGCTGTTAAAAAAGCTTTCAATGGTCGTGACCATTATATGAGGGAATTCTACATGGCCTGTAAAATCTGGGATGGGGGAAGGTGGTCAATACTGCAGTGTTACCTAAAATATTAAAAGTCTGTGTATTTGTGTGTGTGAGTATAAGAGAGAGAGAGGAAAAAAAAAAACACCTAATTTGAAAGATGAGTGGTTTTTCATGTTGCTGTCAATTTTGTGTGCCCAGCGACCACCCACTAAATCTGACACTTCTTTGCTCACCTTCATAGGGGATAGAGTTGGGTGCATTTCCAGGTATCTCTCCATAGGTGCTCTGGAGAATTCCCTGGGCAAGTGATGTCTACAATAATGTTGGAATTGTTTGTGCTTTTTGTTCTTTCTGGTTATTATCTTTTTAATGACCTGACTGCTTTGTCTCATTTCTTGTGCTACATACAGATAGAGGACATGCAGTGGGGCAAAGGTGTCCGGGAGATCCCGTCCTCTGTGTGCACATTGCCCTGCAAGCCTGGACAGAGGAAGAAAACCCAGAAGGGGACACCTTGTTGCTGGACCTGTGAGCCCTGTGATGGATACCAGTATCAGTTTGATGAGATGACATGTCAGCATTGTCCCTACGACCAGAGGCCCAATGAGAACCGAACTGGCTGCCAGAACATCCCCATCATCAAACTGGAGTGGCACTCCCCCTGGGCTGTCATTCCTGTCTTCCTGGCAATGTTGGGGATCATTGCCACCATCTTCGTCATGGCCACTTTCATCCGCTACAATGACACACCCATCGTCAGGGCATCTGGGCGGGAACTCAGCTATGTTTTATTGACAGGCATATTTCTCTGCTACATCATCACCTTCCTAATGATTGCCAAGCCAGACGTGGCAGTGTGTTCATTCCGACGTGTCTTCTTGGGCTTGGGAATGTGCATTAGTTATGCAGCCCTTCTAACAAAAACTAATCGGATTTATCGCATATTCGAGCAGGGCAAGAAATCGGTGACAGCTCCCAGACTCATAAGCCCGACGTCACAACTAGCAATCACTTCCAGTTTAATATCGGTGCAGCTTCTAGGTGTCTTCATTTGGTTTGGGGTTGACCCACCCAACATCATCATAGACTATGATGAGCATAAGACAATGAACCCAGAACAAGCCAGGGGAGTTCTCAAATGTGACATCACAGACCTTCAAATCATTTGCTCTTTGGGATATAGCATTCTTCTCATGGTCACATGCACTGTGTATGCCATCAAGACTCGGGGTGTGCCCGAGAATTTTAATGAAGCCAAGCCCATTGGATTCACTATGTACACAACGTGTATCGTATGGCTTGCCTTCATCCCGATATTTTTTGGTACTGCGCAGTCAGCAGAAAAGGTAGGTGAAAATGTACATCTCACAGTGCATTCCAGAAATGTCTAGTTTTGTGCATATTGAAACCAAAATGGTTGTGTCCTCCAAATAGATTTATGTATATAGAATAGAAGGTACGAAATACATAAAAAACCTTAGATTAGTAGAATAATGGTACAGGAGTTTAAAATTTTTAAGTAAGCTCTCCTCTTTGAACCTACTGAAAACCAAAGACATGTGACCTTTCCAAGTGAATATATTTGTTATAAAATTATCATAATTAGGCATTTTCCAAGACAAGATAGTCTAATCTAACTCAATAAAACCCTTCCCTTCATTCACTCACCATTCCCGTTCCTACATAAATGCTTCTTTAGGATAGACCTTGGCCTCCGTAGCTGTGTTTCATGTGGGTGTAAATGCATGGTACTCTTGGTGCTCCTGGTGCTCATCACTATAGGTCAGTGGTTCTCAACCTCTGGGCTGCAGCCTCTTTGGATGTTGAACAACCCTTTCACAGGTGTTGCCTAAGACCATCAGAAAACACAGATATTATCAGTACATTTCATAACAGTAGAAACATTACAATTTTGAAGTAGCAACAAAAATAATTTTATTGTTGAGGGTCATCACGACATGAGGAACTGTATTAGAGGGTAGCAGCCTTAGGAAAGTTGAGAACCACTGCTATAGATGTTCTGTCTTCTTAGTAGCTCATCTAGGCTGTTACTGCAGATTAGCTGATGGACACGGACATTAGTTATGCTGTATCAAGTTCCTACAGTTTAGTATATCTTAATCCCAGCAGGAAATCATAATGAGATCTAGGGAGTTTTCAGAGAGAAGCAGGAAAGAAGGGAGAGGAAGGGAGGGAGGGAGGAAAGGAGAAAAGGAGGGAGAATGAAAGGGAGACAGACAGGGACAGAGAGAAAGAGAGAGAAAGATAAAGGCTGTCAATGATTGAGGTTGTTACAAGATTCAGTTAGAATACATGTCCCTGCATGCACTGATGATTTAATTAATCTATAAATTAGATGACCCTCATATGTTGTTTTTAATGTGCTTAATGTATATTTAGTTGTACATATGATTTGCATACCAAGTAGTAACTGCAGTATTGATCCTAGACATGCTGAATACACCTTTGATTTTTACACTTTCCCATCTGGCTACAGTTTTACACATATGAAAATGACACAAACCTAAAACATCAATGTAGAAATTCCTCAGTTGGTGTGAGTGGCTCCAATAGAGTGGCTTGGCTGAAAAGACTAAGTCATTCATATAGGAGAGAGCCTTTTTAGTAATCTAGTTCATATTAGAACATCGGGGGTCATCTTGTTCCAATCTAATTTTAATAAATTTGTTAATGTTTTTATTATTTGTTTTTACATTTGTGTGTGTGTGTGTGTGTGTGTGTGTGTGTGTGTGTGTGTGTGTTTCTACGCACACATACATGTGTCCATGCTAAAATATGTATGAGGACAACTTGCAAAGGCTGGTCACTCCTACCACGTGGGTCTCAGGGACCGACCCTAGGTCATCAGTATTAGCAGCAAGTGCCTGTACTTGATGATCCCTATTTCTGGTTCTTAAACAGAGCTTTTAGATGTGTAGGGACTTTGACTGAAAAAAAAGATATTGAGTTGAATATATAAAAACTTATAAAATTGATGCTGTCAGAAATTAGTTTAGCAATTCGTTAATACCTCTGTCTTTGCATGCTATTTATAAGATATTAGTGGTGTTAGCTGATTTTTCTGCTTAGATGCTGTAGTAACCTAAATTGTGTGGTTCCAAAACTATAAGTTTGTCTTTTTAAAGTGGCTATTTCATGAAACCAAGCAGAATTCTCAAATTACAGGCACTGAATGGCTCTGGAATACAGCTTTCATCATAAAATATCTTAGACAAAATTCTTCCAAAACATATAGTTATTGAACATTGGTGGTTTCCAACAGTATTTTTCAGATTCATAATGCATGTTTATTGTCTGTGAAACCAACTTGAATTTCATTTTATTTCCTCTGTCTAATTCTGGGCCAAGGGAAGAGTAAAATATGAGTTAGGGTACTGAAATGCAATAGAAATGAAAAATAAACTTGTAAATGTCTGCTGGTAGGTTGGTAACTAGTATAATTTTTAGAGGGGACAATGACTCTCTTCAACTCTCATGAAGATTTTTTTTTTGCTATTAAAACAATATCATGTACAACAGGGTAAAGGCATTAATTATATCCTATGTATGTATTCTTGGTGATATAAAAAGCAAAAAACTGTTGCAGTAACGTTAAAATTGTGTCTTGTTATATCCCATATACCTCTTCTTGATGATGATGGCTGAATTAGCATTAGAAGTATTTCTTCTTGAAATGATTTTTGGTAATGTTATTTCTGTGTTATTTGCGTTATTTCATTCTTCATTGTGGGCCATATCTACTTGTGACTGTGGAGGTTTTTTTTTTTTTTTCAATTAAAGTCACATATGTGATTCTTTACAAAATTGAAAGAAATAGGAAGTTTTGAGAAATCCACTCAGTGGATTCTAGTTTCTATTGATGATATTGTACTGGTAGAATCAGACCTTGGAAGAGATTCAGCTGTCTTCAGATAGTGTGAGTTCCAATCCTTCAGTTTTACAAAACAAAATTTTCTTTGTATACTCTTCACAGCTTATGGTGTTTTACATGCTTCATTGGCACAATTAAAAGTACAGAACTGCCAACTAGGAACAGTGAATTTCTACGTGACAATTCACGTGCCTGAAAGACAGGCATATGGCTAGGAAAACATGAATGAACAATTAAGAAAATCACTCTGTGTATAGCATCTAAATTATCCAAAGAGGCAAGTTGCCAAACAAAACAAAGACCTCACAGCAAAATGCAATTTAAATATATATATATATATATATATATATATATATATATATATATATATATATATACTTGCTAAGTTGGCAACCTCACAGACATTCGATTTTGTTCTGATTTCATAGTTTAAGTACCCCAAGTAGAAAAATTCCATTGTCTCAGGAAAAAAAAAAAACAGCAATAAATTCCATAACTGTTTACTGTGTTGCAGAATTGAAATCCATTTTTATTCTGCTAAGGATAGCTCTGTGAAATTTCCCCCTGGATTCTTTTATTAGTAGAACACAAAGACCAAGCAAGGTTCTTATTTTCAATAAAAAAATCTCATCCCCAGTGAAATGTATTTTTGATTTAATGATAATGCAAGAAATCACTGTCACCTTGGTTGCTAACCCATGACTTGCTAAAGTGAAAGTCCTGAAATATGACCTTCTGATTGTGGTAAACTTTTGCTATACAACAATGGATTCCAGGATTTGGGAATTATGTATAGATATGACCATAAAGAGTCCACAAAATACTGTAAATAGTAAAATAATATTATGGAAGATGCTAACTAGTCTTCAGTACTGTGGTATTATTATGTTATTATATCTTGGTACTGTCTTTTCAAGACTAGATTGTTCTCTAAGAAAAGCAGTGATTTAGTCAATGGGTGTTTTTCACAGAAAAGTCTGTGTTGACAGAACTTGAGGAACTCTATATCTGATCCATTTGTCTAAAGCTTTGTAACCACTTGTTATCTGAAGAAATGTCTAGATAAGTTTGTAGTACATAACCAATCAATGGGCTGGTACATACAGTACAGGGTCTCAAAAGATCCTGTTCCCTGGTAACATTTTAGCTATCTTTTGAGAAAGTGGACTGAGGTGTTCATACAGTGGGAAAAAAATGTGTTATTGCTGAAATTATCAGGCTGAACCTTTGGCATTCAATGGTGCTTAGCTGTCCATTGTTTCTTTCATGTGGGCAGTGACATAAGCTTTGTCAAGCTTGACAGTACATAGGGAAGTGGAACTTGGCAGTCAGGTAAGGGATCAGAGGCGTCAGTGGTCAGTGTGCATTTTAGAGGATGGTTGTGTAGAAATGTGGTGAGAAGAAGAGGGGAATGGGTTGAAGCAATTGAGAGCAGGAGAGCACTGTTGCAAAGTTTCAAGGATGGAAAGATGTGTTCTAGGTTAATGTCCACGGGCTATGCTTTTGCACATATCAGAACAACAGGGTGAATAACAAAACATCAATGAGAGAATCCCTTTTCTTTAAAGGAGTATTATTCCACTACATGATAGAACTAGAGCAGTTAATAGCAAACATCTGAGCTAGCACTGGGGCCAGATGTAGCAGTAGGTCAAGGAGATAGGAACATTTCCTAGGAAATGGGAATTTTGTCTTCCATACATGAGAGATAGCCCCCAAAATATGATCACAAAGTGAAACCTGCCCACCAATGAGGTCGGAAATGATGTGGGATGTGATGATCCCATTCCCAACCCCGAGAGTTGCTCTATGATCACCTCCCCCTGAGGGGGGAGCAGCCCTACCAGGCCACAGAAGAGGACAATTCAGCCACTTTTGACGAGAACTCATAGACTAAGATCAGAAAGGAGAGGAGAACCTCCCCTATCAGTGGACTTGGGGAGCGGCATGCATGCAGAAAGGGGGGGGGAGGGTGGGATCGGGAGGGGAGGTGGGAGGGGCTTATGGGGGGATACAAAATGAATAAAGTGTAATTAATAAAAAAATTTAAAAAATTTAAAAAAAAGTACCACACAGCTGTCTTCAACACAACACACCGTCTGAATAGAACTGGAGTTTCTGTTTTGTTGTGTTTCTGGCTTTTCTGGTGGGTGCCTTGTTTGCTCTCTGTGTTTGCTAGTTTATCCCGGTTTTCTATCCGTTCCTGTGATACACACCTTGGCCAGGAGCAAATGGAAGTTGGAAAGGCGAGATTTGGCTTGCCCCGCTGTCACTGTCCATCATTCAGACAAACCAACCTGGAAACAGAGATCGTGGAGGAAAGCTATTCACTGGCTTGCTTCTCGAGGTTTTCAGGATGCTTTCTTATACAATCCACGGCCACCTGCCTGGGTGGAGCACTCTCCACAGTGGACGGGGCCCACCCATGTCAATCATTAATTAATAAATGGGCCA